CCCGCCCCAACCCCCCTTCAACCCCTAAACCCCTAAACCCTATAAACCCTATAAACCCTCAACCCTCAACACAAACCCCAACCACACCACCCCACAGGGGGGCCCAAACCACAGGGGGCGGGGACCCTACGCCCCGAAACCCTAAACCCTATAACACCTAAAAACCCTATATAAGCCCGAACCACCCCACAGGGGGGCCATTGGCGGGGGGGGTACCAAAACGATAGGAATGGGAAAAAACTCTTTATGTTCTAGTCAGGTGGTCCACCCCTCCGATCCTCTGCAGGAGTCTGCTGCCAGCAGCTGCGCCGCCTGAGCCGAAGGGCAAGCCGAATAAGCGGCCCCCCATTACGGCAGGGGCGAAGCAGCCTGCTAAGAAGCCCAAGAAGTAGTTGTTTGTGCCCACATGGCCGTATAGGCGATGCTATCCAGAACCTGCAGCGCAGACCACTATACATATTCAATTTTGTCGATGTTTTTGCTTGCCTCGCGTTGCAGGCCTCGGCACTCGTCTGGGTTTTGACATTACATCCTGGCATGTCCCAGGATCCCATAATTGATCGAACAGCGTGCTCATCACTGAAGTTGGCGACAAATGCTGTTGTAGAATGCTGGCTTTCTAGGAAGTGGTTTACGTAATCGCAACGCCAGGTCAAGAAGATGATTCTGCTTCCAAGACAGAGGCTCTGGAAGCCATGGCGCAACAGCTGGCTGACGGAGTTCCTTGTCCAATAGATGTATATGGTCCCCTGTATATGGGTTCCCCATGCATTTCCCGAAAACCCGCCCAAGCTCGTCCTAAGCCCTGAATAGGTCATTATGTGGGGCTCTTATAAACCGAAGACTTCCCACCGAGAAAGATCCCACGGAATGCCTCAAACCAGAACCCTATTTGGTGAGTACTGTCGGTTACCTAGTCCTCAAACGAGCAAATGCCCGCAAAACCCGTCCAAGCTTGTCCGAATAACCTGAAGGGTTTCCATGTGGAACCCATCTACGCCCTATATAGGTTGAGCCCTTGCAATGCCCCAAACCAGCCCAAGGCTCCAGCGTCTGAGATGGGAAGGCTGGCTCGGGCATTCCATGCAGAAGGGGGTCTTGCCTCAGCAAGCGCAATTGCAGCGACAAAGGTAAGTGCAAGCCACGCCGAGCGAGACAGCCAGCGGTTGCTACGTAGATTTGGGCTGTTTCTGCCGGTAGCTAGATCTGAGCTAACAGTAGAGGAAGAAGAAGGGAAGCCCCCGACTACTCTTCCGTACTTAAAAGTGTCTCACTTTTTCGGCTTTCTTGTCAGGAACCACCCAGCCCTCTTGTTAGGAGGTCTGCCGCGAGGTGAAAGTGCAGAGGAGCTTTGCAAGCGGTTTTGGACTGGGTATAGAATGTTCCACGCTGAACATGAGATCTTCAGGCAGTTTCCTGAAAGGGAAGCCTGGGGACGGATCGTCCCCGTGGCGCTTCACGGAGACAAGGGCCGAGGATTCCAAAAAAGTCCCATTTTCGTGTTCACATTTGAAGCAGTCTTCGGGTTGTCAAAAGAAATCCGTTCCCGTGCCTCCAAGAGTGCCCAAGTAACACGTCATGAGCAAGGTGGCGTCATGACATCAAGCTGTGGGCGCCGAGCCCGCGAAGAATTTCTGCCTGAAGAAGTGAAGGATGAGTGGTGCCCTTTCAAGCGTAGGAGGCTGGGTGATCCTGACATGCCACACAACGGTAGGGGTCATGTGTACATGAGCCGCTTTCTGGGCACTGCCATCCCGAACAAGATGCTGAAAGCACACCCTCAGGTAGTCCCTGCGTACTTGCAAGAATTGAAGAGTGACCTGTCTGGACTCTTTAATCAGGGGGTGGAATGTGAGGGACATGTTTACCGGGCAGCTCTCATTGGAGTGAAGGGCGACTTTGAGTATCATCTGGAAGTGACAAATTATTCGAGGTCATACACCCATGAGGGCCCGACCAACCCTCAGGCATTTTGCCCTGAGTGCATGGCAGGCTCTGACGAGAGCCTGCCAGGAATTGACCTTCGAGACCCTCCTGCATGGTTGAGTAGCTTGTACACTAGTGACCCATGGTCAGTGGTTCCCCCTCTGAGTGAGATCCCGTTCAGCGAAAGCAAGAAGGCAACCCTCTATAGGAGGGATGCCTTTCATACTCTCAAGCACGGTTTCTTGCGAGACCTATGCGCCAGCTGTATCATTTGGTTAGCTCACCTTCGCTTCTTTGATTCGCCTGGCGACTCCTGGTCGCTTGCTACACGCCTGGAGAGGGCACACAGCAGTTTCCACTTGTACTGCCTGGCTTGCAAGAAATCGCCTTCCCTCCGCAAATTCACGAAGGCGAATTTTCATCGCCACAAGGCAAACATGTTCCCGTTCCTTTCTGGAAAAGGAGCGGACACCTTGATCGTTCTGGAGTGGCTCCGTTGGTTCATCAAGTTGCTTTTGCGTGAGCCCCGCAATAGCTCCAATGAAATTTTAATGGCCATGTTGCAGACCGCGGAGGCTGCTCTGAACTATACGGGCGTAGCCAGCTCTCACAACATCTTGATTCACAAGAGCTGTGCGAAGTACCTTTTGAGATGTGGTTTCAAGCTGTTGAAAGGCTATGCGTTTTTGGCTTCCAAAGCCATGAGCGAGAACCGTCGGTTGTTCTCGCTCCGACCGAAAGTGCACTTCTACCACCACTTCCTGATTGACCTGCAGGAACAAATTCGGGCGGTCAAGGAGCAAGATGAAGAAACCCCGTGCATCCTGAACTATGCTGCAATCTTTAATTGTGAAGCCAATGAGGACATGATAGGAAAAATTGCAAGGGTTTCACGGAGGATTTCCCCCAAACTAGCATCCCGACGCTGCCTTGACCGCTACTTAATCGCATGCAGGTTGCTTTTTAGGCGGGCAGGCGTGTAGCTGCTTTACAATGTGTATACCTCCTGAAGTATCAATCCTCTACACAAGCCCAAGTAAATTAGTCTCCCAAGGAGACTCTGCATCTTTGTCGCGGGTATACCCCATATATGTATACAAGCCTCAGTTGAACCCGAAACCCCAGGTAAATTCCCTCTACACACGAGTCTTATACTGCCAAGGAGACACTGCATCCTTGTCCCTGTCATACCCCTATATATAAACCCCAAACCCTATAAACCCTGTAAGCCTAAACCCGAAAATAAGGCCCTATCTATGATACCCAAAACCCAAACCCTCTAAACCGCAAGCCCCAACCCTACAGTTATAGCAAAAACCCTATCCGATTGCCCACGCAAGATGTAGCAAGGGTTTATAGGGTAATATAGGTCCAATCACAAAACCCTCGCTATTATGAAGCCCTCTACAACCCCAAAGCTCTTGTGGAGTGTGAGAAACGAAGCCCAAATCCGAAACCCCAACCCCTATATTGTTCTGCCACTCTGAGCTTCCAGCTGGCCCCTCGCTGAAGGCGTGCGCGGGCTTGTAGGGGCTTCTGGATGTAGGGATTCGAAGGGGTTTAAGGTTTTAAATAGCGTTTATGGGGATTTAGTGGTTGAATATGGAGTTTTAGGGTTTGGGGTTTTAAGTCGATAGGGGGTTAATTGAGGGCTTTTGTGGTTTAGGAGGTTTACTTGTGAAGTAGGGGGACTAATGGGATATGAGGGTTTTGACGGGTTTTGGCCTTAAGGGATTTTGTGGTTTAGGGGTTTATGTACTGTGTATTTAGGTTTTTGCTTCCCGACTGGGTTTGTGCAAAGGTATACAGGGCGTTTCAATGAGCCAGATCTTCAGTCACAACTAAACTCATCTAAGCCCTGGAATTCCGGGAGACCCTCTGCTCGAATCGTCGTTTGCCCTGCAATGGACTCTGCAATGGACCCTGTCAGATCTCAAAAGGCACTTGCATTCGAGCGTTTTTTGTTACTGACGCGCCAGAGTTTCGAGCAGTTTTGGTGGAGGCCTATATTCCCTGGGTTTTCGTTTTTTTCGGACCAGCGCGTTTTTAAGCGGAAAGAGCGGAAATGCCATACCGGAACTGCTCCGAGCAGTTTTTTTGAGGACCAGGGCTTTGCAGGTAGGGGTTTAGGGTTTTAGGGTTTAGGGTACTAACTGCCCCCAAACCCCCAAAACCAAAAAAAACCCAAGTGCCCTCCTCTAGTTCATGGTTGGGATAGTATAAAACATAAGATTTCTATTCCTTGTTGAGTAAGTACCCTTAAGCATTATGTAAAGTGTTACCCCACTATGACGAAGCCCCCCCCCCCCCCCCCCCCTCCCCCGCGCCATGGCTCTTCGCCGAACACCGGCGCTGGCTCGAGCGGCTGCTCAGGGCCTGCGCTGACGTCGCTGGGCCAAGGTTTCGAGTCGGGGTTTAGGGTTTAGGGTTTAGGGTTTAGGGTTTAGGGTTTAGGGTTTAGGGTTTAGGGTTTAGGGTTTAGGGTTTAGGGTTTAGGGTTTAGGGTTTAGGGTTTAGGGTATAGGGTTTAGGGTTTAGGGTTTAGGGTTTAGTTTAGGTGCTTAGCTTAAGGTTGTAGGGATTAGGCTTTGGGGGCTCAGTTGAGGTTTGTTGCTTCTGGGAGCAGCTATGCCTGAAACCCCTAGTTACACCCTAAACCCTATGCCCTGAAAACCCCAATTACACCTTAAGCCCTAAGCCCTAAGCCCTAAACCCCCGAAACTCTCAACTTCAGGGCCTCCGTCCATTGCCATTGCCACGTCAGGCTTCTTGTCGCCAGCGGTGGCAGACTCAGCAGTGACCGGGCAAGCCTCCTTGCGGTTAGGGGTTAGGGTGGCTGGGTGGGTTTAGGGTTTAGGGTTTAGGGTTTAGGCGGGTTTCGGTGGTTGGGTGGGTTTAGGGTTTTCAGGCGCCCTAAACGACACGGAGGATGGGATGTATTCAGGGCTTAGGGCCTAGAGTTCTAAACCCTAAACCCTAAACCCTAAACCCTAAACCCTAAACCCTAGATAAACCCTAAACCCTAAACCCTAAACCCTAGGGTTATGATCGTCATCCCAAAAGGCCCCCGAAAGTCAGCTGAGAGGGTCCTCTTGCTGCATGGAGAGCGTGGTGTCAAGCGCCGCCCAGTCCTGGAACAGTGACGCCCGGTTTAGGGTTTAGGGTTTAGGGTTTAGGGTTTAGGGTTTAGGGTTTAGGGTTTACCCTACATTCCTCAACTCTCCTTATACACCAACCCCCCACCCACTTGCAAACCGCGTTGGCGAGCGTTCATAAGGCTCATACCATACAAATTAAGACAAATGGGGCAGCTCTCCGCTATGGGTACCATGGAGCAGCTCTCCGCTATGGGTACCCCGTAATGATATAGGGCTCCTCGCTCTGCAGTAGGTAGCCCGAAAAAGAAGGGCCCAACTACCCAGAGAGCCCAGTACCCCCTTAAGGAATGTACCTTAGATTCTAAAGGGATCCTTAACATGATTTGGGGCATATTCCTTATTTAAGAGGTATTGGGCTCATTGGGTATAGGGTTTAGGGTTTAGGGTTTAAGGTATCTACATCTACATCCGGGGCGGCTCGCCTGTTGGCCCTCGGCTGCTGTGCCGGCCGTGCCGTCGGTCTGTTCCGCCGGCGTCTCCGCCGCGGCGCCCCCGGGAGCTGTGGGCTCCGCGGGGGCCGATCCGTCCGCCTGCCACAAACCCTAAACCCTAAACCCTAAACCCTAAACCCTAAACCCTAAACCCTAAACCCTAAACCCTAACCCTTAACCCTAAACCCTAGACCCTAAACCCTAAACCCTAAACCCATCTGCAAGCGCATGACAAAGACCAGCGAAGTCAAGGAACAAAAGAGCTAGAAAGATCGTGGCGCAGTCTTCAGCTCCATGAGGACACACCTAAACTTGGCTTACTTTCAAGGCAGCCTCGGGCTGCGTGCCGAAGACTTTGGACGAGTTCCTGCAGGGTTTAGGGTTTAGGGTTTAGGGTTTAGGGTTTAGGGTTTAGGGTTTAGGGTTTAGGGTTTAGGGTTTAGGGTTTAGGGTTTAGGGAGGAAGAATGCTTCGGGAAGGAAGGAAGGGAAGACCGTGCTGAATCGTCGAGTATGTCGATGCGTGGCTTGGAGCTCAGGGTTTTGCTCCGTGATGTACCTAAACACTAAACCCTAAACCCTAAATCAAAAAAAACACTAACCCCAAAACCCTAAACCCTACACGGGGTTTAGGGTCATCGAAAAGCAAGGACTTCGCTCAGCACTTCTCTTTCGTCGTGGGAGCCAACATCCAAATATTGAACACATAACCCTAAACCCTATACCCTGAACCCTAAACCCGAAGAGGGGTTAGGGTTTAGGGTTTAGGGCTTAGGGGGCTGCTGAGGTGCAGAATCAAGAGATAGTCAGAGGAAGGCGGCGGCAAGGAACTCGGTGCGAAGATTTGAGGTACTGGCACCACACCCTCTGAGCCCTCAGCCCTCGTTCTGAACTCGAAGCTCTCAACCCTGAACCCTATAACGCCCTCCGCAAGCAAGCTGGGACTTCTCTTCGCAAGAGGACACGAAATCGAGAAATTCCCAGAACAGGTTCCAAACGGTTGCCTTAAACAAAAACAACGTACTTTGCACTTTCCAATTTTCTTTGCATGGCTGCCTGCATCTTTGATCCAGAGCCCTACATAACCAATCAATATTGAGTAGTAGTACAGGCCTATGACATTCTGCTAATGGCCCGTTTATATATTCTTATATTCTTCTTTTTATTGTTCATATTAAGCATATTTTTCGTATCTTAAACACCTTGATTACAATACTTAGTTCATAAATGTGTGAATAAGCGAATTAAATGAGCGAATGAACACGCCGGGAAAAAGACTTCATTTCCAGTATATTTTGGGTGCTCTTCACATGGCTTATGATTCGCTTGTACACTATTAGTTAACTTGGTCTTTTCGTCACGCGGCCTTCTTTTCCATGCTTTTTGCCCGCGAAGCAAACGAAACGGATATTGGTCCCCACAGTATTAACATTATAGGGGCCCTCATTTCTTTCTTTCGTTCAGAGCAACGAGGGCAACTAGAAGGCGATTTGGGAATGGGAGCGAGTACGCAGACAACACCACCCAAATCGGGGGAGAGGTTCACTTGGCTGCACTCAGGAGGGTAGCTATAAATTAAACTTTTAGCTGCCTTATTAAGAAACCTAATGAACCCAAAAAGGGTAAGGATCTAAAGTTACGGTAAAGTACCACAAAGTTCAGTAAGCCTTCGCAGGACGTCGTTGGCCGAGGGCTTGCGGTCCGCGTCTCGGCAGGCCGCGCGCAGTGCCGAGAGGGTCTCCACCAGGCAGGCTTGGACCTGGAGGAGTGGGGTTTAGGGTTTAGGGTTTAGGGTTTAGGGTTTAGGGTTTAGGGTTTAGGGTTTAGGGCTTAGGGTTTAGGGTTTAGGGTTTAAGTTGAGGTCTTGGGAGTCTAGGGTTTGGGGTTGAGGGGTTTAGGGTTGAGGGCCAGGCAAGGAATATTATGTGCACTGGTACTGCAGCGCTCATCTTACATAAAAAAGAGCCCAACCACTGAAACCCTAAACCCTACAGTAAACCCTAAAGGCCCTTGCCTCAGCAAGGGACATGGCCACGGTCGTGGGCTTCGCGGTTGTCGCGTCGGCCTGCGAATCAAATTTGAGTTTGGGGTTTCGGGCTTCTGGGGGTTTGGGGTTTAGGGTTTAGGGCTTATAGGGCTTTTCGGGCTTCGGGTTTAGGGTTCAGGGTGGGCTTTTGGGGTTTGAAGAGCTCTAGGGTTCATATTCCACGTGCAATCTCAATCCTTGGAACTACGTGAGTCAGAACGACCCAAAACCCTGACCCTAAACCCTAAACCCTAAACCCTAAACCCTAACCCCTAAATCTTAAACCCTAAACCCTAAACCCTAAACCCTAAACCCTAAACCATCCCTAAACCCGAAGCCCTAAGCCCTAAGCCCTAAACCCGAAACCCTGAACTGAAGAATGGAACTGAGGGGCGACGTCGTAGGATCTGAGAGTCTCGGACCCTAAGCCCCAAAGCCCCAAAGCACAAACCCCAAACCCTAAACCCTAGAGGATTCTTGGTCTAGGGTTTAGGGGTTAGAGAGGTTCGGCTTGCAGGGGTTATTAGGGCCAGGGCTTGTTGATCCATATTCTAGTCCATACATCGGGAGTTGAGGTACTAGTATGGGTAGATGGCGCATTTGGTCCCAGACTACACCATGGTTGAGTCATATTGGTAAGTAGGATATTCTAAACCCGAAACAGGCTCTGAGGTCCTAAACCAGAAGCCCGGAACCCCTAAACCCAAAACCCTAAACCCTCTAAACCCCCCGGAACCCTCTAAACCCAAAACCCTAAAGCCTCCAAAGCCCCGGAACCCCCTAAACCCTAAACCCTAAACCCGAAACCCTAAACCCTAAACCCTAAGCCCTAAGCCCTAAACCCTAAACAAGTCGCAATGGCTCGGGCGTGGCCGCCTTGACGGTGCTGGTCTTCTGCGCCTCGTCGCCATCCAAATCCTCCTCTTGGGCCGCCTGCTCCTCCTTCAAGGCCTGTTTCGAGTCTAGAGGGCTTTTATGGTTTTTTTAGGGTTTGTAGGTTTTTTGTGGTTTATAGGGTTTATGGGATTTTTGAGGGCTGAAAGGGTTTATGGTGATTTTTTTGGGTTTATAGGGTTTGTAGGGATGCCTGCTTCGGGTCTAGAGGGCTTGATAGGGCTTGATAAGGTTTGACTGGGTTTTAGGGGGTGTTTAGCACTTGTGGGCTTTTTGGGGTCTATAGGGTTTATAGGGTTTATAGGGTTTATAGGGTTAGGAGGGTGTAGAGATTTTAATAGGGTTTGAAGGGTTGGCAGGGTTGATTGGGTTTTAAGGGCATACAGGGCTTGTAGGGTTTTTAGGGTTGAAAGGGTTTAGGCCCTGGAGAGGTGCCGGGGGTTCAGGGCTTGAGTGACTTTGAGAAGCCTCAGCCCTACCTTTCTTTTAGGCTTGCTATTCCAAGCATGTTCTGAAGGTAGGGTCTTATGAGGGTCCGGGTGTAGCCCTAAACCCTAAACCCTAAACCCTAAACCCTAAACCCTAAACCCTAAACCCTAAACCCTAAACCCTAAACCCTAAACCCTAAACCCTAAACCCTAAACCGCACTTGCGATTCCTTGAAGGGTTTATAGGTGGAAAGCTGGCGCCCGGCAAAGGCCTCCATTTCCTGCGCTCGCTCGTCTTCTTCGCCCTCTTCCCTGGCCAGATGCATCGCAAGATTCCGAAACCCTAAACCCTAAACCCTAAACCCTAAACCCTAAACCCTAAACCCTAAACCCTAAAGCCTAAACCCTAAAACCCTAAGCCTGAAGCATGGGTCACACCCTCAACTCTGCCTTGGCTGGGCGGCCAGCTCCTCGTCAATCATGGACTCCAAAGCATTGGCGAAATCCTCCTCACCGATTTGGGGGGTTTGGGCTTTAGGGCTTTTAGGTTCAATCGTAAACCCTAAACTAAACTCTAAACTCTAAACTCTAAACCCTGAACCCTGAACCCTGAACCCTAAACCCTAAACCCTAAACCCTAAACACCCGCCTCACTCCCAAGCACCTAGTGTACAAGTTGCTCGGGCTAGTACCCCAACAATGAGATAACTGGAGGGCAGAGGGGCCAAACTGGCAGGGTTTAGGGTTTAGGGTTTAGGGTTGAGGGTTGAGGGTTTAGGATTTAGGGTTTAGGGTTTGGGTTTGGGGCCAAACTGGCAGGGCAGCAAATGCACCGCAAATACGGAACTCCACCTCGCATTGTCGGATCCGAACCTTGCGTAACAGTCTAACAGACCCTAAGCCCTGCAAGCCCTGAACCAAATCGTGTTGATGGGGCTAAACCCTAAACCCTAAACCCTAAACATCTTTGGAGCTGTTGCTAGAAGCACGAACAGCCCCAAGGCGTCACCAAAGCCTAAATCACCAACCCCTCACAGCCACTCTAGAAGCCCGAACCCACAAAAACGCCTCAAGACCCTAGAACCCCTACTTGGAGGTTCAAGCCCCGCAACAACAACGCCTCCCAGGACGTCTTCAGGGCGATGCAGGTTAAGGATTGGCCATTAGGGTTTAAGGTTTAGGGTTTTGGGCAACTTCTGAACTATGATACATTTCTCCGTATCCGTACCCCCCGTTTAACATAGGAAGCCGCCCGAGAAAAGAGCACCCTACACTGCACACGCTAAGACCCGACACGACCCTGTTGCTTCCATCTTACACCCTATTTCAGAGAAGCCCTAAACCCGAAACCCCAAACAAGCTGAAAACGCAGAAAGAAATGTTTGATATCACTTGTCGAGTCTATGACAACTAGAACCAAGAGAAACGGGCATGACAAAAATAGAAACAGTCTACGTTGATTTGTATAAGAAAACCCCAGAGCAAAAACTTAAGTCTATAAGGAAAGTGGAAGTATAGCGACTCTTGCGACTCTTTAAACTATGGGGTAGTTCTCTGTAGGGTCGCTTTTGGGGGCACTTTGTAGAAGTGTGCCTGCACGGTACTACAGTAAATACTCCATAGGGGACTCACCCAAATTTAGATAACTACCCTGAATATGTCTTTTGGGGTTCTTTAACGCGGCCTCTACCGCACCCTCTGGATCTGGAACGGACTCGAGCGTAGCTCCACGTAGGAACCTGACGACTTGGGATTTAGAGTTTAGGGGTCAGGGTTTGGGGTTAGGATTCATTCTCGGACCCTAAACTCTAAACCCTGGACCCTTCTCGTTTTGTGTTTTTCGGTTGGAGACTTTTGGGTCAGGAAGGTTCAGGATTTGTGGGCTTAGAATTGGGTTCGGCAGGGCTTCGCGTATCGAAGCTTGGCAAATAATAAGGGCTATTGGCGGCTGTATGTGATGATCGGATTTACCACGCACCCGCAAGTGACTCAAAAGGCTTGAAAGCCTCATGGCAAATCGAGCCTTGCCCTCAGCTCTACGCACTAAATCCCCTAACCCCGAAACCCTAAACCCGAAGTGCTCTGAACCCCCAATTCCTGAGCTGTTACCTCTCTGCCCCAGAGGTTTTAAAGACCTCCAATATTGAAGCAAGACGCTGGGATTCGGTCTCCTGCCTCTTCAGAGTCTCCCCGGCCTTGAAAAGTGCCAGCTGGGGTTTGAGCAAGGGCTTGAGCTGAGGTATTTTTCGGGCTTGAGAGTGTTGCCATAAGGATATGAAGTAGGGTTTAATTATATATACACTCAATAGTATTAAAAAGAACCTTATATACACTCACCAAGAACGGTAATATAAGCCCAGCAAAATCTAGTGCTAGCCGCATCGTCAGACTCACAGCCGCACGAATGGGAATGATAGTCAGAGTGCACTTGTTCAGTGTTTTGGCCTATAGCACAGTAGTGGAAATCCGTACTTCATGGTACCTATAGCCGCCGTCATCAACAGGACGTGCATGAGGTTCATCATCGTATCACCATTTGGGATGCTCCCCCCTGATACTAACAGTCCTTAGTAGGGATTATTGTACCCCTTATTGTAATCCTTATTCAGGAATGTTAGTATAAAGGGGAACATCCTAAATCATCATCCTCAGCATCATCGTCATCATGATCATCATCCTCACCCTCGTCGTCATCATCTCATGACGTTAACAAAGAAGGATAGTAAAGATACCCTACCACAAAGGCAATAGTACTAACAACAGGAATTGTAGGAAGCACAGCAAAGTGATCACAACACTCACAACCGTCAGAATAGTAGCCATGGTCATCCTCGCAAGCATCCTCATAGAGGGAGAGCAGGGAAAACATCCTTGCCGGCCTCCTGCACCTTCTCTTTGAGCTCTCGCTCCTTCTTGTCCGCGCGCAGGAGTCGCGCCTCTTCCCAGAGCCCGTTCCTCGGCTTCTTTGTTTAGGGTTCTCTGTTTAGAGTTTTGGGTTTTATAAGGTCGCCGCGACTAACCCTCAGTTCCCTCGTTACCATATAATTCTAGGATTCTGGGGCCCTGGTATCCTATCAATACTCTCCATGAACCATTCCTGCACCTTCATGTGCAATATTCGGGGTTGGGATGTTCCCCTCAAAATCGGGAGTATAGTACCCCCTACTACAATCCCGACCCAGGACTGGTAGTGTAAGGGGGAAAGCCCCTGAATAACAATTACAGCTCACACGGGCTGGCCTGGCGTACCAGGAGAATCATGGACAGTTGTAGCTGGGGTTACATGTCAGGGACTGAGTATAGCGATGACTGCTTACAGCCCAGATGTTGGATAGTTGAACACCCTGCATATAGCTACCAATGAACCTTTAGATGCTGTTGCCGGTGTGTTTTAAAACAAGTTGTTTCGAAAGAACCCTAAAGCCCCAGCTTGATTTGGGCTTTTGGAGACTTCGGTGAAGAACCCTGAGCCCGAGAGGCTATGTAGCCTAAGCCCTAAACCCTATAAACCCTATAAACCCTATAGACTATAAACCCTATAAACCCTATAAACCCTATAAACCCTATAAACCCTATAAACCCTATAAACCCTATAAACCCTATAAACCCTATAAACCCGATAAACCCTATAAACCCTATAAACCCTATAAACCCTATAAACCCTATAAACCCTATAAACCCTATAAACCCTATAAACCCTATAAACCCTCTAAAGCCTCTAAACCCTCTAAACCCTCTAAACCCTCTAAACCCTAAACCCTAAACCCTAAACCCTAAACCCCTTGAGCGGAGAGTCTGCTCTAGGAATGTCAGCACGTCGTCCGCCGTGAGGCCCTCCCGGCCCGTGCGGCCCAAGGACTTCTGCTTCTCAAGGCCATGGGCATCCTAGGAGGGTGTGAGGGGTTAGGGATTTAGGGTTTAGGGCCCTATTTATACCCTTTAAGAGATTACGGCCCAAATTCCCTCATTTCCTAGCCAGCATCAGGGTGTTCAGTGCTTCGGGCCTTAGATTTTGGATTTCTGCGTAGAAAGCCCCCCGAAGCTTTAAGACATCCAACGCCCGACCAGCCGAGTCTTCAGACAAAAAAAGGGTGCACCTTTTTTGGCTTCAAGGGGCTAATTTTGGGGATGTTCCCCCCTTATACTGACAGTCCTTAGGAAGGATTGTAGTACTCCCTATTGTAATCCCTACTAAGGACTGTTAGTATAAGGGGGGACATCCCAAGGCTACTTAGTATAAGAGAGCCTAAGCCCTAAACAAGAGGGGAATGAGGGACGTACCCTTTTTGGTTTAAAGGGGCTTAGATAACTACAAGAGAACCTATGCCTTTCAAAAAGGGAATCAGGGCCTACTCTGGGTCCTAGATCAAGAGCACCTAGGACTCCGTCCAAGCAGCCAGCTTCCTCTTGAGCTCCTGCACGGAGGATGCAAAGGACCCCATGTTCCTCCGAAAGTTCAACCCGGGAACCTCCTAGCCCTAAACCCTAAACCCTAAACCCTAAACCCTAAACCCTACAGTAAACCCTAAACTTCAGAACCCCTAACCCTGGAGTCGGCGTTGAGTCTCCGAAAAAAAAAAACGCAAGCCTAAGCTTTCCGTCACCTCCCAGTCTGCCCCCCAACAAAGGGGTGCTCCAAGAAGGCTTTAGGGTTTAGGGTTTAGGGTTTAGGGATTCAGGTTCATGGCCTTGGGTTAAGTTCGGCAAATCTCCGCATCATGTTGACATGCGGCGGCATGCAGGTTCCGACCCGACACCCTAAGCCCTAAGCCCCCCCAGTCTGAACCCACAGCCTTGCATAGTTCGGGCGTAGGGGAAGGGTATACATACCTGGGACCCTATTTACCTACAGTTTTTTAGTATGTACCCCCCATTTAGTAGGTATAACCCTGTAGGTAAATAGGGTCCAAGGTAGGGCTTTCGGGATGCTTACAGGGTATCGTGCCAGCGGCCTCCAAACTGGCAATCCCGGCCCGATTCATGCGTGCGGTGAGCACTCGCGCCCTCTTCTCCTTAGAGGAGGCAGGGGGGGAATTCCGGGGTTCAAACTCTACATCCTCTAATTGGGGGGGGGGTGAGGGGGGAGGGGGGGGAGCGGGGAGGGGCTCAGGGCAACCTTTGGAATGGCTTTTGTCAAGGTGCCTATAACAAGGCACCATCAGATAGAATGCCTCCACAGGCCTGTTACGGTTCAGGGTATGGCTCCCAAGTGCTGAATGAACCTGCAGGGCGGAAAGCAAAAGACTTGGCCTGTTGCTGGAGTCAGATTTTGAATTGAGGGTTTAGGGCTTTGGGCTGTCAACCCCAAACCCTAAAAAGCCCCTAAACCCTAAACCCCAAACCCCAAACCTTAAACCCTGAGCCCTAAAAAAGGTGCTGGGTGGTCAGAGCTCCCCTGCCAGGCCGAGCTGCGCGAACACACAGGTTTCATGCGCTTTGCAGTTTTTTTTGCTTAGTGTAAGTTACACAGTGCAGAGTGTGTGGTTTTGGAGGAACGCTGTTGATGAGTGGTAGGGTTCAGGGTTCAGGGTTCAGGGTTCAGGGTTCAGGGTGTAGGGTTAAGTGGCTAGGGTTTGGGTGCTTTTTTGAAAGTCTCGAGCTTAGGTTTTAGGGTTTTGGGTGTGCATTTGCTCGGCAGCCAGAATCATGTTCCTGGTTCTCGATAGGGAATTAGGAAGTTAGGAACCCGTACCTCACCCCCGGTTAAAACATCAGCGATCCCTTGGGGACAAGATTCCTTATATTAGCCAGGACACCATGATTTCATAGGATCTTTGTCGGTATCATCGAGGCGGGGCAAGGATAGCCCTAAACCCTCAGCTCCACAATCAAAGTGCCCCCAAGCTGGCCCAGTGTCAACCTCCTTGCCACTGGTGTGCTTCTTCTGGGCCCTCAGTGCCTCAACTGGCAGAGGCTCTGGGATATAACGTATAGGGTCCTTGTATCCCCAGAAGATATAGACACTCACCAACATCTCTAAGGAACCCTAAAACCATGAGCCCTAAACACTAAAGCCTATACCCCTAAACTAAACCCTATATAAACCCTATCAGCCTAAACCCTATGACCCGTAGCCCTTTTCCCCTAAACCCTAAACCCTAAACCCACAATATCGCATCTTCAAACTACGCCCGGAATTTTCTTCAACATGAGCTCGGGACATGCCAGGCTATGTGGACTTGGGGGCTTCATTTGTTCTGGTGTGGAGTTTAGGGTTTAGGGTTTAAGGTTTAGGGTTTAGGGTTTAGGGCTAGGAGGAGTCTGTCAGAGACGGCCTGACTGCCCTCCGAGCTGCCCAGCATGCGAGGGAAGAAGACCGCATCCTGAGTTGCTGTGTTGTGACTTAGGGTTTAGGGTTTAGGGTTTAGGGTTTAGGGTTTAGGGTTTAGGGTTTAGGGTTTAGGGTTTGGGGCTGTAGGGCTTCAGGGCTGTAGTAGGTCCTAGGGCTTTGCTAGCGCTTAGAGCTTTAGTAGGGCTTAGTGCTGAGGGCTGAGGGCTCAGGTCTTATCTAGGGACTCCAAAACCCAGGAAGAAGTAGGCCGCTTGGGAGAATTGGGGAGAAGGCCGCAGTTCCCAGGATGCGCTTTTTGGCGGGTTTCCGAGACGGGTAGTTTGGATTCCCAAGAACTGCAGAAGTTCAGAACCTGGCTGTGATTGTAAAAACGCGGTTTGAGAACTTGGGCCTCCAAACCCAAGTTCCCGTTTGACGACCCAGTTTTTCTCAGGTTCTTGGATCTCTAGATCGGGCTTAGGGCTGAGGGCTCAGGGCTTAGGGTTTAGGGCTAGCTCTGCCAGCTCTGCTAATCGGCGACCTTTCCGGAGGATGGGACACCCATGGTCATGTTCCTCTGGCAAGATAAGGTCAAGGGACTACAGGCGGGACCCGTTTAAGGGACCTTCAAAGATGCTATGAACCCTAGAAGTCCCTAAAAGCTGGGATGTTCCCCCCTTCTACTAGCAGTCCTTAATAGGGATTAGAGTACCCCCACCGGGTCCAGGTTTTTTTTTCGTATTTTTTTTGTTTTTTTTTTCGTATTTTCATGGTCTTGGGTTTAGGGTTTAGGGTTTAGGCTTTAGGGTTTAGGCTTTAGGGTTAGGGTTTAGGGTTTGGGGTTTGGGGTTTGGGGTTTAGGGTTTAGGGTTTAGGGTTTAGGGTTTAGGGTTTAGGGTTTAGGGTTTAGGGTTTAGGGTTTAGGGTTTAGGGTTTAGGGTTTAGGGTTTAGGGTTTAGGGTTTAGGGTTCACCTGAAACCATAAAAAATACGAAAAAAAAACCAGAAAAAATACGAAAAAAGAACCATGAAAAAATACGAAAAAGAACCATCAGCCACCCCCCCCCCCCCCCCCCCCCCCCAGTTATAATCCCTACGAAGGACTGTTATCATAAGGGGGAACATCCCCAGTAAGCCCCTGTAGGCCCCTTGCAAGCCCGCTAAACCCTGCAACCCCGCAAATCCAGAGAGAAGGCTGAACGATGAGTTATCAAGGGATTGCGAGGAGCAAGTGTGCTTCAAGCACTGGGCGTCCCAGCAGGTAAACATAACAACTGAAATCTTCCAACCTCCAGCAAAAAAATCGTCAAATGCGCAGCGTCAAGAACACTAATTAGACCCAGGGTGCCATGTCCCCCCAAGCAGAAGATTGGGGGTTACGACTTGGGGGTTTAGGGTTTAGGGTTTAGGATTTAGGGTTTAGGGTTTAGGGTTCGCTGTCGCATCAAGGTGGCAGACCACACACAGATGATTCAAATTCTAGCCCTATAAACCCTAAACACCAATCCCTAAACCCTAAACCCTAAACCCTAAACCCCAAACCTAAGATCTTCTTGTTCAGGGCTCAGGGGGCTCGGGAAGCAGTAGAGGGTGTAGGACCCCAAATTTTGGGGTCCAGTTTTTTCAGGTCGGGGACTTAGGGTTTAGGGTTTGTAGGGTTGATAGGGTTTAGGGCTTTATAGGGTTTAGGGTTTAGGGTGGAACACCCCACGTTCCTCCAACACCGTTGCAAGCGTCCACTTGGGCAGCATCGTGACGAAGAGCTGTGTGGTCACCGTCTGCTCGTCAGCCGGGAGACCCCTGTGGCCATACCTCCAGGGGGTAGGATGGTCCAGAAAGCCTCTTTAAACCCTAAAGCCCCTCAAACCCTTAGAAGGCCCAAAGTCCCGCTTGTTTTGGAGGGGGTTGCTTAGGATGCATAGGAGACCCAAGAATATCCAAGGAATGAAAAGGGTACCCTTTTTGGTTCAAAGAACAAAGTGCAAGGGAACCTAAGCCCTAAAAAAGTGAATAAGGGGGCTACTCTGCCTAAACCCAAAACCCAAAACCCAAAAACCCAAAACCCCAAAACCCCAAACCCCAAACCCTAAACCCTAAACCCTGAACCCCCCCCACCCCCCCCTTAAAGGAGGCACCATGTTGGGTCTTCTGCTGCCCTTGACATTTCGGCTTCGCCTGGCTTTTCCCAGACCTGACTCTGCCCGCAAAGCCCCTAAACCGCTGAAGTGAAGCCTAAACCCTAAAGCCCTAAACATCCTTAAAGCCCCAAACATCCCTAAGCCCTAAACCCGTAGACACCTAAACCCCAAATCTCAACTGTGCTTCCGTGACAAACCTGAATTCGGGTTTACGGTTTAAGGTTTCTTAATTCACCGCTGGGACTGCGGGCATTCGGATGGCGCGTCCACACTGCTGGATGAAGCCGCTCGGGGACACCGGCACCTTTCGTGTTCATCTCATGAAAATTTAGGGGTAAAGTGTAGGTTTTAGGTTTAGGGTTTAGGGTTTAGGGTGATCCTATATGTCCGGTAGAACCCAAGCGACGTCAGAACTTAGAACGCGCGAACAACAGTCATTTGCCATGTCATGGGACAGTTAGTCTAGAGGACTTGGAAGCCCTTATGGCTTAGTAAGTAGTGATAGGAAGTTGGGTTACGGGGGGTCTTGTACGGTTTCTAGGGGATGCTAAGCAGACTTCCTAAGTCAAAAGGGGCTTCCAAGTAGGGAATGTGGTGGTCATCCCTACCCCCCCCCATACGGAGGAGCCGACTTCAAGCCGCATCTAGAAAAAAGAAAATCATATAAACCCTAGGCCCAAGATTAACCTAGGAACACAAAAGGGTGACCCTTGTGGTTCAAAAGGGCCTATGAATAAGAACTAGTCATTCGGGGACTTAGGGATTAGTAGGAGGGCTTTGGGATTTAGAACAAAACGGCTCAAGGGTTTAGGAGGGTTTATAGGATTTGGTTTTCAGGGCTATACAGCAACACTTCGTATGGGCCCTTAAAAGGGGACCCCGTGTATACCCCTTACATACCCCATACAACCCAAGGGCCCATACTTCAGAACCCAGGAAAGGAGGCAAGGGACCATGATAAGTAACTACCCTTACCTTAACCCTAGACCCTAAACCCGAAACCCTACCATGCTATGGGCCCATAGAACTCCCCTTAGAACTGGGGAGAGCGCGAGTGCTGGTGACACGATTGCCAACCCCTACACCACTAAACCCGAAACCCTTGGACCTAAAACCCTCAAACCGTGAAGCCCTTAAACCCTCTCTTCCCCTAAGACCCCTGAACCCCCCTGAACCCCCTAAACCCCCTGAACCCCCTGAACCCCCTAAAACCCCCTAAATCCCCTGAACCCTAAACCCTAAACCCGAAACCCTAAACCCTAAACCCTATACCCCACGGTTGCGGGCGTGGTGCGTCGGCCAGGTAGGTGCGGCGGACGCTCAGGAAACTCACTCCCTCCGAGCCTAGGGTTTAGGGTTGAGGGTTGAGGGTTTAGGGTCTAGGGGTTAGGGTTTACTGAGGGATTACGGTCGAGGGTTTAGCCATGAAGGGGCGTTGGGCCCTATCCCTCAACCCTAACCCTACACCCTCAACCCCCCAAAACCCTAAACCCTAAACCCTAAACCCTAAACCCTAAACCCTAAACCCTAAACCCTAAACCCTAAACCCTAAACCCTTCAACTTCTCGGCAGCCCAGAAATCAACCCAGGAGTTGATGCCGGATATAGGAGGTGTTTATAGGATTTTTTTGGTGGGGGCTTTAGGGTTTAGGGTTTAGGGTTTAGGGTTTAGGGTTTAGGGTTTCAATAGGATTTAGGATTTTTTTGGGGGGGGTTCATGCTGTAGGATTGAAGGTTTATGAAGGGTTGGGGGCTTGCTGAGCATTTGGGGTTGGTATGGGATCTAGGCTTTAGGAAGTTTAGGGAGGTGGTTTAGGGTTTATGGTTTAAGGGTTGAAGATAACGGGGTTTCAAGGGCTTAGGGTATCTCGAGGGGCTGGTGGAGCCCAAAAACCCCAAACCCCTTGCAAGAGAGCTTTCGGTGGTTTGGGGGTTAGGGTTTAGGGTTTAGGGTTTAGGGCTAAGGGTTTAGGGTTCAGGGCCCGAAACTCCACCACGTACACAAACCTCCCAAGCACCAAACAGTCCGAGGAACACTGCATGGAATCTGCCACGAGAACTCGGAAAACTTCCCCCCGGAGGTTCGAGCAGTGATTGAACTCCTCAACGCGGGCGAAGTTCCCCAAAAACCTAATAAAACCCTCAACCCCAAACCCTAAAGGGCTTTCTGGGTTCGTGGGGGTTCGGAGATTGGAGGGCCTTAGGTTAAAGGTCTACGGTTAGGTGTCAGAGAGCCCGGATGTTGGCTTCACAGTCTTAGGGCCTTAGGGTTGGGATGTTCCTCCTCATACTGACAATCCTTAGTAGGGATTCTAGTAATTCTAGTAACCCCATGATAATCCCTTAAGGTAAGATCCCAAGGCTCAGGGGCTTCAGGTCTCAGGATTTGAGGGTTTAGGGCTCCAGAGGGCTTAGAGTTCAGGTGCAACTTCCAGCGAACATCCATATCACAGCCGTTGAAGCCTTGCAGCGTTGCCGCGTGGTCCCTGAACCCTACCCCTAAACCCTAAACCGTAAACCCTAAACCCTAAACCCTAAACCCTAAACCCTAAACCCTAAACCCTAAACCCTAAACCCTAAACCCTAAACCCTAAACCCTAAACCCTAAACCCTAAACCCTGCCACCCCAGTCCTAAAGCCTATGCCCTCCCAAGGCCCCAAACCGACAAAACGAAGACGAGCCCTCACCTACTATTTGCTTAAGAACCCCCCCCCCCCCAACAAAAAAAACAAACCTAAAAAGACAATCATAATCCCCATATTGCCCTTTGTGGGAATAATGTTCCTTTTTTTTTTTTGGGGGGGGGGTTCATAAGCCAAAAGCCCTGACGCCGCGCGGCCGACAGCTCGTTGATCGTGGCGACGGAGAAGGGAACTTCTGACTTGGCGGCCAGGTGCTTCATCCTTGGCGGGTTCATAGGGTTTGTATAGGGTTTAAGGGGTTTATTGGGTTTATAGGGTTTATGCGGTTTACAGGGTTTATAGGGTTTATGGGGTTTATAGGGTTTATAGGGTTTATGGGGTTATAGGGTTTACAGGGTTTCTGGGGTTCATGGGGTTGAGAGGGTTTATAGCGTTTATAGGATTTATAGGGTTTGTAGGGTCTCGGGTTTGAAGGGTCTAGCAGGAAAAGGGTTCAGGGCTTCAGGGCGTGCAGAGTTTTAGGGTTTAGGGTGGTTCTGAGGGTTAAACCCTGAACCCTGAACCCTGAACCCTAAACCCTAAACCGGGGTTTGAGGGTTCAACACGGTTTGAGGGGCTTTAGGGCCTTAGGGGGTGATAGGCTGAAGAAAGGCGAAGAGAAAGGTCTCCCAACGCAGGCAGGCATCAGCTCCAGCATGACCTGGGCGTTAGGGTTTAGGGTTTAGGGTTTAGGGTTTAGGGTTAGGGGTGCCTACTTCGACTTCATTAAGAGGGGCAATGATGTGCTATCCTGTGCGCGGCGGCTACTCCAGAACAGAATAGCTACACCCGAACTCACCCTCAGACCCCTCGCGGCGGTTCAGAACCCTAAACCCTAATCTTTGAACACTAAACCCTAACCCTAAACCCTAAACCCTAAACCCGAGTTTCCGAATCCTATATACCCCCCCAACTCCTACAGTAGATCCTCTTGGCCGACCCCACAGCTTTCTATGATGAGCGATTTAGGGTGTAGGGTTTATAAACCCTAAACCCTAAACCCTAAACCCTAAACCCTAAACCCTAAACCCTAAACCCTAAACCCTAAACCCTAAACCCTAAACCCTAAACCCTAAACAGGGTTGAACCCAACATTTTGGGGCTTTCCGACATTAGGGGTACCTTACTTGGGGAACCCTGCTAGTTGGGGGACTACTAGGGATTCCTTATTTTCGTCAACCCCCACATAGGCTCACATGGGGTTGTTGGTTCAGGGAGTTTCGGGAGTTTAGGGTTTAGGGTTTGGAGTTTAGGGTTTAGGGTTGGTTTAGGGAGTTCAGGTTTGGGGTTTAAGGTTTAGGGAGCTGTTGGTGTAGGGTTTAGGAATCGGGGTTTGGAGCTTAGGTCTTAGTGTTTACACGCAAACTCTCAAGGCCCTTCCGCCACCAAAACCCGTTCATCTTGGCGCCCCGACTAAACCCCCAAACCCTAGAACAAAAACCTAAGCCCTAACCCCGTAAGCCCTAAACCCCTAAACCCCTAAACCCCTAAACCCCGTAAACCCCGTAAACCCCTAAACCCCTAAACCCCTAAACCCCTAAACCCCTAAACCCCTAAGCCCCTAAACCCCTAAACCCCTACACCCCTAAACCCCTAACCCCTAACCCCTAAACCCCTAAACCCCTAAACCCCTAAACCCCCAAATAAACCCTAAACCCTAAACCCTAAACCCTAAACCCTAAACCCTAAACCCCAAAACACGAAGCTTTAGGTATCCCAGGGGCAGTGTAGCCGGAGGTTCTGGCGATCATGATGACTGCCTTGAGTGGCGAAGCTGCCACGGCCTGGTGTTAGGTTTAGGGTTTAGGGGGTTTCGGGTTTAGGGTTTCGCGTTTAGGGTTTTGGGGATTAGGGTTTAGGTTTAAGGTTTGGCCTTTAATTAGGGTGTAGGGTTGTCGGCGTTGTGCTTCGGGTGTCTTCAGCACACCCCTCAAGTAGCTTCGGCGCCACACAGAATGTTGAGGGGGAGGGAAGTTAGCAGTTCCAAGCAACCGCCACTGGCTGGTTCGGGCTTTTCGGGCTTAGGTTTAGGGGTTTAGGGTTTTGGCGCAATGGTGAAGGCGCGTTTTGGCTCAACTGCTGATTTGCAACTCTACTCCCCCGCCCCCAAACTACTATGTGCTTAAAACACCCCCAAAAATGGAAGACAGTAATCCCTATGTCGCCCTAAGCAAGAATAAACACATATGTAACATACATATATATATATATATGTATACACATTGCATTTTTACACATGCATTTTCCCTTTCCTGGGATACTTCTGGGATTCCCACCGAGCATGTTGGGAGAAGCTGTTTTGAGCAGGCTCTCCACTTACTAACCTCCTTTATGCCGAACGCTACAATGGCTTCTGCCCAAACCAAAAAATATTAAAGTATAGTACTCTAAAACAAAGCCTAGTAGGGATTATAGGAGCATAGGGTTCTTCACCCCCAATTTTAGGGCTAGCTTGGCCCCTAAGGTCTTCGGGCACACAAGAAGAGGACTGTGTTACAACAACAGCCTCCCCCTCCAAAACCAAGAATAATGTCAAAATCTTGTCTGCCCAGTAATTATAATAGCAAGGGTACGCTTTCTGGGGTTGCTTACTGTGTAAGGGAACCTAGAACCAAGAACTCAGAGGCAAAATGGCACGACTGGGCTACCAAAAACAGTAAACCCCAAAAGCCCTAAGCCCCTAATAGGCCCTAAAACACCAAACCCTTTCACCCTAAACCCTAAACCCTAAACCCTAAACCCTAAACCCTAAACCCTAAACCCCCAAAAACCGCCAAACCCTAAACTAAAAGTGTGCACCGCCTCCGCGATGGCCAGGAGCTTTGGGCAACAGTCGTCAGGGTTTGCCAAGATCCTTAGGCTGGAGGTCTCCTGCTTTGCGGTCTAAAAACCCTAAACCCTAAACCCTAAACCCTAAACCCTAAACTGCCCAGTAACCTAGGCTTAAAAAGGGTGCCCTTTTTTGCTTAAAGGGGTTTATAAGGGAACCTAAACTCCCCCAAAAAGGGAATAAGGGTACTACTGGGCATCCTAGGTTTAGGGCTGAACCCTGAACCTTGAACCCCATTCAGAGAGTTAGCACTGAAGCTCTGCGGACGAACTCCTGAAGCACTTCGCCCCCGAATCCTGAAAGCGCGGTTCAGGGTTCAGGGCTTTGGGTTTTGGGTTCAGGGTCTAAGGGTTTAGGGTCTAAGGGTTTTTGGGTTTGGGTTTAGGGTCTAAGGGTTTAGGGTTTAGGGGTTAGGGCTTAGGGACTCAAACACCTTCCTTCAAGCCTAAAGTCGCAACCGCCCAGCTCCCAAACTCTAGAAAGCCCTAAACCCTAAACCCTAAACCCTAAACCCTAAACCCTAAACCCTAAACCCTAAACCCTAAAGTCTTCAAGCTGACCAAAAAACAAAATACGACGGAGACTGAAGTCTTGGACCCGGTCTCCTTGGGTTCAGGGTTTAGGGTTTAGGGTTTAGGGAAAGTTTAGGGTTTAGGATTTAGGGTTTGGGGACATTGATTAAAGATTCCGAAGGCGATCTAACAATCCCCCAAAGCCCCCCGCAAGCAGCCCCAAAAAGCCGTCTTCCGGTCCTGGAGCTGAGTGTCGGGGCTTGAAGATTTCCGGGGCTTTACCCCCTACCCCTTTGTTGTTTTAACGTTCAGGGTTCAGGGTTTGATCTCGTGTCTTGATCCTTTTGCAGAGTGTATGGGGATCAAGAGAGAGAGAGAGAGAGAGAGAGAGAGAGAGCGAGAGAGAGAGAGAGCTTCAGGACTTCAATGGCTTAGGAGTTTACGCATGTCGAGGTTTAGGGTTTTGGGTTTAGGGTTGAGGGGGTCTCAGCCCAGAAGAAATCTGTCGAAGGCATATGCGAAGTGAGGGTCTTCTTCTTGCTTCCCATCTTGCCGTCGTGGAAAGCCGCGTGGAAAATGCTGACCTCGGTGCAAGATCGTAAGGTTGATTTGAAGCCCCCCTTGGAGGCGACAAGCTTGTTTAAAGGGCTTTGGGCTTAAAGGCTTCTGGGTTTAATCCCTCAATAACCAAATTGCTCAGAATAACCAATCTGACGGGGTCTGATGTAGGTCCATAAGGGAGGAGAGTCCAAGGAGGGTATGGTGCATAACCCAGTGTTCCTAGTATTCCAGGGGTTGCGTGGGCATAACAGACCCGAACCCCTAAAACCCAAACCCCCTCGGAGACCCCTTTCCTCGTCTAAGAACAACCGTGTCAGGCTTGCTTCAGCACGTGAAGGATGACGGCAGGGTTGACAGGAGCAGCCCAGAAACCACACTATGACACACTATGACAAGGGTACACTTGTTTGTTCATCCAGTGAGTTCTTGTTTACAGGAATTCAGAACCCAAATGGAGAATGGGAACCGCAAAGGTTTAGAAGGTAAATCCTAAAATTCCAACCCTAAAGCTCCAACAAACGCAAAGCCTCGCCAGCCTGAAACCACACACCCTACAAACGACATTGCTTGGATCTGCATTCGAGAGCCTGCTTAATCTGCTCTAGTCAAGGTCCAGACTCTACTGTACTCTACATAACTGTGCGACTCGAAGATCTACTCTACTCTACGCTACTCTACGCTACTCTACGCTACTCTACACTGCTCTACCGCCGCTCTCTACTGTCTTTGCTCTCTCTCTCTCTCTCTTTTGCTCTTTTGCTCTCTCTGTATGAACTTAATACCCTAACTTGTATGAAGTATAAATAAACACAACTCTGCATGCACGTAAATACATACAGGTATATATTCATTATGCATGTGGATGCTCTCCCCCTTTACCCACCAGGAGGCGATGTACATCGAATAAATGCACATGTTTCTCAAACATGTGGTATCTGACTATTGTGACCAAATCTATTGGAGGTTGCTTATACTAAGTGTCTGATACGTGTACATATACATACATACATACATACATACATACATATAGATATAGATATAGATATAGATATAGATATAGATATAGATATAGATATAGATATTATTTAGTTGTATGCACCTATACATGCTACTGTACTCCTTGTAGATTAGGGTACCCCGAGCTGCCCATGATGTAGAACAGCTAGATTCAAACCCCCCAAACCCTAAACCATAAACCCTAAACCCTGCTGTCTGCAAAGCAGCATTGCAGTAGGCGCGAAGGCGGCGACCAGGCAGGCCGAGGCGACGTTTCAGGTCCTTAGGGGTGCACATAGAGGCTGCAGGCTCTAGGAGGGTTTAGGGATTGGGGTTTAAGGTTTAGGGATCTACCCTAAACCCTAAACCCTAAACCCTAAACCCTAAACCTTTTGCAGGCAGGCTAAGGAGAGGGTAGGTCCGGCTTTTCGGGCATGTGCATGAGAATTATGGGAGCTCCCTGAGTTCCTACGATATTACCACGAGTGGCTCCACTTCTTTGACGAAAAAACACACTGAATCCTTGGATCCACCCAAAACTTATTGTACCCGCAAGAAAAACATACTTTGGAGAACGAACCAACTAGGGCTTAAGGTTAAGGGGAGACCCTATTGGCAACAGCTTGGCATGTAGGTTGATAGCTTCGGGCCTTTACGGCCTCGTAGCACCGGTAACTCATTGAAGGGAGCTCACCCGAAAACCAAGAATTGGGGGCACCCATACTGCAAGGTCCGGGCTACGCTTGAAGGAGGCCTAGACCCTAAACCGTAAAGAACCCTTCGGAACCTTCAAACCTTGCATGTTCAAACTTTGCGGGCACCCTGTTAGGTCACAGCCGTCCCAGTCAAGCGGCGTAGACCTTCAGCGCCTCCCCGCGCATCTCGACCTGCACCCGCAAAGCACCATGCTGCGCAGAGGGGGAGAGGGGGCGCGATCAGATTTAGCCGAAGATAGAAAAACCTAAACTTCCTAAACCCTGAACCCTAAGCCCTAAACCCTAAACCCTAAACCTTTAGGGGCTTCGGGTCAGAATGGGTATTTTGAGTATGTCAAAGTTTGGGGATAGCAGCTTAAGTCTTCAACATTGCACCCAGCCCGAAGCGCAAAAATCTTCAAAAAGCTTTTGGGCTCCAAGGGGAGCTTAAGGCTTCGGAGTTGGGGCAATTCCCGACCTACTGGCTACCGCAAGATACCCCAAAATACTATAGTCCTTATCCTATAGAACCCTCCCCGAAGAGATTACCCAAATTTTCGGAGTTAGGCTTCATTCATGTCCAGGGCCCCCGCCAAGTGCCTAGGCGCGAAACTAAACCCCTGAACCCAGCCCAAACCCTACACCCGAAACCCCAAAGTGAAAACCCTAAACCCTAAACCCTAAACCCTAAACCCTAAACCCTGAACCCATAAACCCACAGGTTGCTCCCTCTCTGCCTTCCGAATCAGCTGCCGCTTCCGCGCCAGCGTCAGCACACCGTCTGGGAGGCCCCGGGGCAGCGACACGGGGAAGAGCGGCTGTGGCCGCCTTGGTAACCCAAAAGTTCCCCCCTGAAACCCTTTGAAGAGTATGGTTGAGGGCTTCGGGTTTAGGGTTTAGGGTTTAGGGTTTAGGGTTTAGGGTATGGGCGGTATGGGGTTTAGGGCTTAGGGTTCAAGGTTTAGGGTTCAGGGAAACGTCCTTCTGCATCAGAGGAAGGATGGTGTCACCCTCTACATGAGTGTGACATGGCATTTGTGACAGGGTTCCTTGAGTACTTCTCGAAACTTCTTGTTGCCACGCCACACGCACTTCAATGTTCAGCTTTTGGAAATTCAGGCTTCGGTTCTGGATTCTTTCCTTGTGGAAACGCGGGGTGATGCGGTGCACCCTGTTTCCTCTATAGGGTTTTGGGGATATCGGGCTTAGGGTTTAGGGCGTTTATGGGCGGAAAAGTTTCGTTCCACTGCGTCTGCTGGGATGATTGGAGCCTGCACTTGGGAAGGCAGAACCGGCTTAGGTTCATGGCCAATCATCTCGTACTGCCGGATGTGTGAAGGGATTGTGCAGATTTTAAGGGTTGGTTGTTTAAGAGCCCTACCAGTTACAACCCTAAACCCTAAACCCTGAACCCTAAGCCCTAAACCGAAAAAATCGACTTTGACCGCAGCGAAGGTGCATGGGAAAGGAAGAGAGGTAGCCCTCGTCCCCGTCTGGAGCAAGGACACCCTTGATGATGTCCAGTAGCCTGCTGGAATTTCTGCGCTGCCCTGCCCCCCCCCCACCCCTCCCTCCTCAACGGCATGCGTTTGTAGGCTTCAAGCTTTTGAAGAGGTACATGTAGGTCTAATGCCCTAACATCGAACACCCTACATCCGAAAACCGCCAAGACCTACAAAAGCCCGAAACCCCCCAAAAAACCCTAACAACCTTCAAAACCCTAAAGCCCCACCCTAAAGCCCTCTCAAAAACCCTAACGCCCGACACCCTCAAGCCCTAGAAGCCCTCAAAAACAATGATACGATTGGATACTTTGGACTGATGTTGATAAAGAAATATCGGCCTAAAACCCTCAAACCCGAAAACTAGATCCAAAAGTAACCTAGAAAAAGATGGGTGCCCCTTTTTGGTTTACAGGGACTTATAAGGGATCCCGAGGCCCAAAACAAGGGAACAAGGGCCTACTCTGCGTCCTGGAAACCCTAAACCCTAAACCCTAAACCCTAAACCCTAAACCCTAAACCCTAAACCCTAAACCCTAAACCCTAAACCCTAAACCCTAAACCCTAACCCTAAACCCTAAACCCTAAACCCTAAACCCTTCAGCCCAGCGGCTGCCGCCCCTCACTGGGCTCAGAGAGGATCGGCGTGCCAGTGAAGCCCGCCAGGACCAGGTTCCGGCCCTGCCGGATTCAGCTCAAGGTTTAGGGTTTAGGGTTTAGGGTTGAGGGTTGAGGGTTTAGGGTTGACATCTCGCCCTCTCTGTCTCGCTCTCTGCCTCTCTCTCTCTCTGTCGCTCTCTGTCGCTCTTGTTTTGTTGTTGTTTGGGGGGGAGGCGAAAGAAACACCAAAAGCTGCGCGCTTAGAATGCGCATAATCCTTAAAGAGGCCCATCTGGTGGTTTACGAAAATAGGGGGCCCCTCATGATTCTATGGATCCCCAAATAGTAGGATCCCCAAATAAGGTGGGGATTGGGGCAGGGGGAGAATACATGTCGCGTTCAACCCGAATTGAGATTTCAAGGAAGCAGCTAGCAACTTGGTTTGGCCAAGATGTCTGAGGCTTCGGACGCTTAGTTCTAGCTTTATCGGCTTCTGCCCTTTTTGGTTCGGAGCTGGAATCAGAGCCCAGGCCCTATCCAAGCCTCGTCCACTCACGATTCATGCTGCCTGCCTTTCCAGATCCAAAATCTGAGCTTGCGAAGGACGATCCCGTCAGTCAGATCGCCATGAGCGCCAATTGCACGGTTGCAGTTTCGCGATTTGCCGTCGGCCGTGGTGTAACGATGCAAGGGGCACGACAAGTGCCATTGAGCATAATCAGGCCGCTGTATAATCGCGAAAACCAAGTTGCCACTGCCAACAAAGAGAAAGCACCCTTGTCAGCCACGAAGAATGATGACACGACTGACTGACATGACTAGTACAAATAGAAGCAGCTGGAAGCAAGGGACAGGGCTTAGGGGCTTAAGAGCTTTGTAGCTGAATAGTTTTGAGGGTCTAGGTTCTACAGGTCTTGTATGTTTTAAGCTAAACTGCCCGCAGCTAATAGTGTGGTGGGGCTTAGAATGGACGAAGCTCCTAAACTCTAAACCCTACCTGCTTAACCCTCAACGAAAAAACCCTAAACCCCAAACCCCAAAACGCAAAACCCTAAACCCCCTAAACCCTGAACCCTAAACCCAAAACCCCAAAACCCCTAACCCCAATTGCGTAACCCTAAACACAAAACGCCCTCAAACTGTCACAGGAGGACCGGCGCCCCGCCTCGTAAAGAAGACGCCGAAGGCGCTGCAGCTGCTCTGCATACCTAGGGTTTAGGGTTTAGGGTTAAGGGTTTAGGGTTAAGGGTTTAGGGTTTAGGGTTTCGGGTCTCGGGTTTAGGGTTTAGGGTTCAGTGTTTAGGGTTTAGGGTTTATCTTAGGTTCTTGTAAGCCCCCCTTTCAATACAGCCTCTACTTAAGAGCCTTTTGCTAGCAAAGCTCCTCCCAAAAGGAAAAAACCCTCGGCGGCCCACGGTACGTAGACCCTAAACCCTAAACAGCTCAACTCCAAACCCTAAACCCCTAAACCCCTGAGCCCTAGAAACCCCAAGCCCTAAACCCTAAACTGCTCAACTCCAAGCCCCTAACTCCCCAAACCCCTGAGCCCTCAAACCCCCCAGCAACACCCTCAAACCCCCCCCAAACCCCTCAAAACCCCCCCAAAACCCCCCCAAACCCCCTCAAACTCCCTCAAACCCCCCAAGACCACCTCAAACCCCCCTAAAAACCCCCTGAAAGCCCTCAACGCCCCCCCCCGAAACAGCTCCGAGACGTGCTCCGAGGCGCTGCGTCTGGCTGCGGACAAGGTTGTGTGCCTCGTCCATGAGCCTGGGCTTTGGGAAAACACCCAAACCAACCAAAAAAAACTGACCAAAAAAACCTAAACCCTAAACTAAACCCGAAATTCCTAACCCCCCCCTCCCCCCCCCCCCCAAACAAAAAAAAATCTCCTAAACCCTGAAACCCTGCAAACCCCAAAATGACGAAGCTCGGGTTGAAGAAGTCCCGAAGGCTGGGATCGCAGCAGCCGGAGAATACAAGAATACTTCTTGTTGGTTTCGCTGGGGGTTTTTTTTGGCGGGATCCACACTCGAAGAAGCAGGGGGTGTAATCAGGGGAGCCGCGCTTTTTGGTTGGTTGCTTTATAAGGGAGCCCGAAACCCAAAATAGGCTAAAGGGCACCACTGGGCTACCAAGGTAGGGTTCGGGCGTGCTTGGCGGACAACCTCGGGTAGTTTAGGACGAGGGCTTGTGGCACTGCTGGCAGAACAAGACTGTCATCACGCCAGAACAAGACTGCCAGCACTTCCGCTCAGGGCTGTGTTGGTGACCTGAGAGCCCGATGAAACCCTCAAGCCCTCGACCGAGACACTGAAAAGCCCTAAACCTCAACCCTATCGCCCTAACAGCCCTAAAACCCGACAAAGCCCCTTATACAGCCCTACAAAGCCCTATAAAGCCCTATAAAGCCCTATAAAACCCTATTAAGCCCTGTAAAGCCCTACATAGCCAAGCCTAGGAACACGATCTTGTTGCAGTAGACGTTGCCGGTACCCGTCGCGTAGCCAATCCTGGAGGTGCTCGGGGGCAGAGTGCTTCAACATCTCTGAGCGGGATGAGGTCCAACGAGTTTTCTAAACCCAACCCCCCCCCCCCCCAAAAAAAAAAAAAAAGAAGTACCCCCTTTATGTTGCAAGGTTTAGGGTTTTGGCTTGGCTTTTAGGCGTTAGAACTTCGGTGGGGTGCAGGAGTCCAGATCCCAGAGTAACCTAGGAATAACAAGGGCGCCCTTTTGGTTTAACGAGGCTTATCAGAGTTCAGGGTTCAGGGTTTAGGGTTTAGGGTTTAGGGTTAGAAGGGAACCCTCCGCCCTAAACAAAGGGGAATAAGGGCCGACTCTGGGTCCCAGTTTGTCTTGATATTCAACTATAGCCCTTCTGTATAGAGCAAATCATAGAAGAAGGTTGTGCGAGTGTTTTGAGACGTAGCCGCCTGATTGGATCGAAGGTCGCGCAGTTGCCGCGCATGTGAGTTAACTGCACATGCATGAAGACCCATGCCTTACAAGTTCATCTAGGCTTTCTTCGGCTGCGCATCAAGAAACAGTAAGAAACTCAACCGCATCCAAACGTTACCTCTCCTGTGGCTAATTGAACATCAGCGACTGCGCAGTGGGAGCTTATGTTGTTGTGTTTTGGTGTTGAACTTGAATATGCGTCCTTAAGCTATTTTCCTCAACATCTCCACCACAGAGAGCCAGGGATCTTCATCAAAGAGCTCATGGGCTTGTTGTCCGCGCCGATTTTGGCGAAGGAGCCGCCAGCAGATGTGTAGCCCAGCGCGCGAAGCGGCGCCGCGGGCATACATTCGCCTACCAGGCATTGGGGGGCCTAGGCCTAGGCCCTAAACCTCGAAGCTGTTTTACGCCCTAGTATGGAGGCAGCATCCCCTTGTGGGTAGTAAACTTTAGCAAACATGCTCCCAAAGGCTGACTCGACGCATGAAGAGGGGACCCTCACTTGAACCCTCAACCCGCAAGGTTCGACCCTAAACCCCAAACCCTAAACCCCAAACCCTAGACCCCAAAATCCTAAACCCCAAACCCTGCACCCCAAACCGTAAACCCCACACCCTGAACCCCAAACCCCAAACCCCCCAAACCCTGGACCTTCGGCCTCCGGGCGGGAAACTCAAGCTTGTCCTGGATGACAATCGTGTTGTTCAGTTGTACGAAGTGTGTCCCGTCAAAAAATGGCCCGGACCGTCCCGTCCTCCTTTTCAATCGCTCCCAGGGATGCGATGCGCAGTTTGTCACCAAAGGGTTTCCGAGCTTAACGCTCAGGCAAAGGGTACATGAAGCCCAGCTGCTGCTCCTCCTCAAACTGGTGCTCCAGCTGATCTGGGACCGCTCGCGCAGAAGGATAGTTAAGATTCTCGGGGCAGAACTCGGAGCTTGCGGCATTCGCGCGGGGAGGTGGTTTCCGGTCTGTCTTGAAGAGGGTTTAGGCTTTAAGGGTTAGGGTTTAGGGTTTAGGGTTTGTGAAGGGGGGGTGGAGTTCAGGGTTTGGGGTTTTGTAGGGTTGAAGCTTCGAGGGTTCGAGACCTGTTGAGGGTTTTCATATTACGAACAAGGCCGGGGATTCAGGGTTTTCCGGTTTTAGGGCTTAAGGTTAAGGACTTTAAGGTGTGGGTTGTAGGGTTTTATGGTTTTGGGTTTTGTTTAGGGTCTTAGCGGTTTAGGGGTTTAGTGTCTAGGACTTTACAGGGTACATACAGGCCCTAGGCCCCAACACCTACAACCCTACTAAACCCTAAACCATAGATCCCTAAAACCCAAAACCCAAAACCCTAAGTAGAACCCCTAAAACCCCAAACCCTAAACCCCCAAAACCTAAACCCTACAACGCCCTAAAGCCCTAAACCCCTAAATCCCCAAAAGCTAAAACCCAAAACAACTACTGCCCTACCCCTAAACCCTAAACCCTAGAACCCTGAACTCGTCTTCAAGGGTTTCAGGGGACTTAAACCCTAAAACCCTAAAGCCCTAAACCCTAAAACCCAAACCCCAAATTGCCTCAAACCCTTGACCCTAGCCCTAAACCCCAAACCCTAAACCCTATAAACCCTAAACCCTAAACTCTAAACTCTAAACCCTATCCCTAAACCCTAAAGCCTAAACCTAAAGCCCTAAACTGGCAGGCCTGGGTTCTTCCGGTGGAAGGCTGCGCGCAGCGACTTCCGCACGCGACCCATGTAGAACATGCCTCCAGGGCTTAGGGTCTAGGGGTAGGGTTTAGGGTTTAGGGTTTAGGGTGTAGGGTTTAGGGTTTAGGGTTTAGGGTTTAGGGTTTAGGGTTTAGGGTTTAGGGTTTAGGGTTTAGGGGTTAGGGGTTAGGGGTTACGGTTGAGCATATTTGGGAGGCGGGGGAGGGGATGCAGGTCGGGCTAAGGGCTCAGAGTGTTTGCGAGGCAATCCCACCGCGGAGCCCAAGCCCCATCAATAGGGTTTAGGGTTTAGGGTTTAGGGTTTAGGGTTTAGGGTTTAGGGTTTAGGGGGTTTGGGGCTTGGGGTTTGGGGCTTAGGGCCTTGGGGGAGCACATTCCTGCCCCACCTTTCATCTCGAGGACCTCTCGGATGGAGTAGCCCAGCCTTCGAACCTGCAAGGGCTCAGCGCAGTTGGTTTAGGGTTTAGGGTTTAGGGTTTAGGGTTTAGGGTTTAGGGTTTAGGGTTTAGGGTTTAGGGTTTAGGGTTTAGGGTTTAGGGTGGAGCTTCAAGTTTAGGGGATTGGAGGCTTGTTTCCAACACGGCCCAAGTTGGTAAGCACAAGCGAGCACACGCAACAACCAGCAGGAGCCGCGAAAAACCTGAAATAACAAACACAATCGAAGGAAAGCGTGAACACAACAAGGAAACAACCTGTAAAATTCCAGCGCATCGGCCAAATACCCTGACCCTGAACCCTAAACCCGAAAACCTAAACCCTAAGCCCTAAAGCCTAAAGTCGAAAGGCCCAACTCTGAGATCCCTACCTCCAAATCCTAGAGCCCATATCTGTTCGTCAGCCTCCTCTTCAGAGAAGCCGCCGAGATCCCACAGGTGGTTGCGGTACTCCTGCCGGGGGTTTAAGGAGTCAGATGTAGGCTTTCAGGGCTTTGGGCTAGGGCTTAGGGTTTAGGGTTTAGGACTTGGGGTTCAGGGTTTAAGGAGTCGGATGTAGGCTTTAAGGGCATTCGGTCCTGGGGATTTTGGGTCCCGGGCCTTGGGGTTAGGGTCTAGGGTTTAGGCTTTTGGTTCGTACTACTAGCATCTTCAAGACGACACCGATTGTATACACTCGGGGCGATCGCCGTTCCTGCAAGAATGGTTCTTAGGGTTTCAGGGTTGCCTTTTCGGGCTTTTGTTTCTGTTTAGGGTTCAGGGTTTCATCTTACAAAGGATGGTCAGGGGATGTGGGAGTCAGGTATCTAGGGTTGAGAATTTTACCCTGAAGCCTATGAACCCTAAACCTTAAACCCTAAACCCTAAACCCTAAACCCTACACCCTAAACCCTAAACCCTAAACCCTAAGCTAAAGAGGCGAAAGAACGCGCTCCTTCCAGCTCGGCCTCCCACTGGCGATCGCGGCATCCGCAGGCCGCTCACAGCCTGAATTGGGGGGTTTAGGGTTTAGGGTTTAGGGTTTAGGGTGTAGGGTTTAGGGTTCAGGGTTTCGGGTTTATGTACCTGAATTTCGGTGGGCTTCTGTTCCTTTGGGTGTTTGGGGCTTAGGCTTGGGGCTTAGCTTTTCTTGCTCCTTTGGGCTTTTAGGGGGCTTAGAGTTTAGGATTTAGGGCATGCTTGTTCTTTTGCCTTTGGGTGTTTAGAACTTGGATTTCAGGGTTTAGTTTTTTTGTGTGGGGATTCCCATCTAACACGCCGAAGCCGCATAAGAGTATTTGTTGGGGGTTATACAGCAATCCGAGGCCCTGGGCCCAAACAGCTACCCTAAACCTTAAACCCTAAACCCTAAACCCAAAACCCTTAGCAGACTCTGGAGCACCCCAAGTGTAGGGGAAGATATGTAGCCCAAGGTGCCCTACAACCCCCCCACCTCCCTATATTATAAGGCTCCAGAAGCTTCACTAATGTTCTCTGGAGGGTAGAACTGGGATGCTCTCCGTTCTCGTAGCCGCGTATGCCAGAAAGCCCATAAGCCTCATAAGTCCCAGAAGGCCCAGACAGCCCCGAAAGCCCAATAAACTCCGTAAACCCCCCCAAAAAGACCACGCAAACCCCCATAAACGTAGCCCAACCTGAACCTTGGGAGGCGGCAGAACCTACCCCAAACCCCATAAAGCCCCTAAACCCCATAACCCCCAGCCCCATAAGTCCCTTCAAGCCCCTAAACCCTAAACCCTAAACCCTGAACCCTAAACCCCGTAATGTCAGTAATGTCGTAAACCCAAGGGAGCGGCAGAAGTAGTCCCGGTATCGGCTAGGCCACCTCCGATTTTTGTCGTCATTGTCTGTTGCTTTTGGTGCTCGCTCGTGGCGGACGGTTTAGGGTTCAGGGTTCAGGGTTCAGGGCTCAGAGGTTTAGGGTTTAAGGTCTAGGTGTCCTTTGGGGCCTTCTAGGCTAGGTCTTCTGGATTCGAGCAATTAGGGGTTTGAGATGGTTTGAGGATCCGACTAAAACAGCTTGGGCCACACTGCCTCCTCTCTGCTCCTTCAAAATCTGCGCCACGATGCAAGCACGAGAGCACAGCAACCCCAAACCCCATAAGTGTTTCGCCCTGCGTTGGCAAAGTAACATGAAGAACACCAACACGTACTGCTGGAAATACACGCAGAGGATTTCCCTGAATAAGTTCTCCAAAGACCCCCGAAAAGCACATAACTGTACATCTAAACCCTTCACCCTTCACCCACATGCCAGCACTCTAAATTATCGTCCCTCTGGGGTACCCGAAAGAATGGGGCCGCCTGATAATAAGGACCCCAAAAGGGACCATGATGTAAAACCCTAAGCCCTAAACCCTAAACACAATTTCGGAAACCCCCATGTAGAGAAATGACCACATGGAAGTCGCAACCTCCAACTCCGAGCTCCAGACCCAGTCTAAAGCCTTCAACCCCTACTGCTTCCAGCACTGCCTGCTCTTGTTTAGGCTTCGGGGTTTAGGGGAATTCGGTGCGGTTAAGGGCTAAACCCGAAACCATAAACCATATTTTGTTAAGGACCAAGGAGAACGGAAAACTCCTGCAAGGGACTCTGTTCAGAAGGGTACCGGACTTAGGGTTGGGAGCGCCGGGTGGGGAGGTCCTTTCTCCAACAAGAGCCAAGTTGGCTCCCCGAAAAGTGGGGTTTAGGGTTTAGGGTTTAGGGTTTAGGGTTCAGGGTTTTGGGTTTATGGTCTCTGGTTTAGGTTTAGGCCTAAGATCAAACATGTCGAAACTGTTGTGGTCCCACACCAGTCGCTCTTGCCTCAGCAGCTCCGCGTAGAAGTTGCGGCAGACAGGGTCCTCACTCCAGCTTGTTTACGCCATGTTCATCTTGGTAGGGGCTAACCGTTTAAATATGCAACTACTGCCGTGACTCGTACATGGGAGGTGGACCAAGCAAACAGAATGCAACTGGCTCAAGCCCACGGAAAACCTCCAAGCCTCACACGCAAAAAAAAAAAAACGAAACCCCTAAACCCTACAACCTACAACCCTAAACCCTAAACCCTAAACCCTAAACCCCTAAACCCCTAATAAACCCTAACTATTCAAAGACAAAGCCCAAGGCTTGCTCCCCCGGCCTCTGTGCATTGAACCCCCCCCCCCCCCCCGCAAGAGGCGGAGCGCCAAGTTTAGGGTTCAGGGTTTAGGGTTTAGGG